GGTTAAGATCTAGAAAAAGGCTCCACCAGCCAAGATCGTTTATTTACTGAATCCTGCAGATAATCAGTCAGTAGGAAACTGGGCCAGTCTATTTAATCTGTAATATTTGTGCCTTTGAGCTCAGACTAGGAGTCTGACAGACAGTTTTATTCTCTCCCTCTATTGTTTCTCCAGGTTGTTATTAACTGTTTTAGTCCAGTCAGCTGTTTGGCAGATCAGAGGGTGTAGGAGTGTCTTTCTGCTGTGGAGAATCTTTGTTGCTTTAGCTTCACTGTCTTTTTAACATAAATGGATTCCTTTTGACTTCTGGTTACATTTTAATGTGATCATATTGTTAAGGAATAACAAAAAGTAGGGTTATTCTGGAAAGCCTAACTTGCAAAATTATTTGTTTCAGAACTCTGTTAAAAAAATAAATATAAAAATGTCGTCTCAGTAGCAACACAGTTGTATTTCTGTATAAATATAGAAAGTTAACAAAATCTGAGCTGTCTGATGTTCAGATAAAAAAAAATTATAATAAAAATACCCAAAGGAATCAAAGATTGTATGAACCTGTGTGGTTCCACTCTGTTTGCATTCCCTTTATTAAGTTCTATTTAAACTGACGTCCATACCTTAATATGATGCAGCCGAACAATTATATAATAGTTGGAAAAATAAAAACTAAAAACCACTTCACATCATACAGGAAAGCCCTCCTGGAGTTTAAAAGTGTGCAGTCCTACTAACTAAATTATATTTCATATAGATTAACTGTGTGAAAAACATGGGTTCTTTTTTCCTTGCTTTACTGATTTTTCCTTTTTTTTAGGAACATCATGATAGAATATAATTGTACTTATTTTTGGGGTCTATTGTTGACTTATTGGTAGAAATGCATACTAAAGGAGCACCAGCAATAGATTTGATTTAAAGGTGGATTTCCATTAATCCCCTTATTCCCTTCTTCCTATTTCTACACCAGTAACTCCTTCTGGTTCCACCCATAGTTTTTCTTAAGGATAGACACTTTCATGCTGGTGTATAATTTTTTTGTTTGTCATGCTTTGTTTTTGCTAATTTCTTTAGTAAATAAAGCCCTTTGTGCAATAGGGTAAACAAGGAAGTAGCCTACTGGGACTAAGCTAGTAGCATCTTCCAGTAAAGTGTGAAAATAATGATGTCCAAGATGCAGTGTGAAAAAAAAAAAATGATAAAGACTTGAACTACACTGAGAATCCAGTATGAGGGTTAATGTTTACTGAAGCTGCCGAGGCAGCTAAATTGATGGATATCGCTCGGATTACTCTTAACATTTTTACAGATATTACATCAAGGCTGAGTAACAATGAAACTAACAACTTTCAGGTGCTTTTGTAATAATTACATTTTTAAAGAATTTAATTAAAGAATATTTGATTTGGCTCCTTATAGGCAGCCATGCTAAGTGATTGTGCATATCTCTAATACTTTTTGTAAAAGAACAGTTTAGAACAAGCCGAGCTGCTTTATTTTGTGCAACCTGTAATTTGTTCAGGTTATTTTCTGTAGTTGTCGTCCAAATTATGGAACAGTAGTCGAGATGACATAAAACTATTGATTCCACCAAAGTTTTACATAGACACACTTCTTTATAACAAAATATTTGCTTTACTTTGTACTTAATACCTGGGGTTGGTCAGTCCTATAACATCCAAACATAGGAAATAAAGTTTGAACTTTAAATGTGAAGAAAAGTGGAAAAAAAAAATAAGATTTCTGC